GTGTGAAGTGAAAGATTTTTGCTTGGATGTCTCTGGTTCTCCATGCAGGCCTCCTATCCACAGCTCAAAGAAATCATCACCAAACAAGTAGATTCAGTTGTTTCTTTTCTGGCTTTCTGGTTTTGTGTGTGTGAACAGGGAGGAAGGAAGGGTATGAGACTCTGTGTATGGATAAGGTATGAGGTGTTTTCTGTGAATAACTTTGAATAACTGTTTGGTTTCAGTATCTGACATGTAAATGCAGGATTATTGTAATTATATCAAGTACTAATGTTTCTACTCCTAATTTGGTCCTAGCTGTTGTTAGTTTAGGATTAATTACCTTTCTATTCTTGTTTTTGCTGTCTAGGCTCCTTCAAAGATGGTTCGGCTGCCATTGAGACCTGGAGCTCTAATGCCACAATGAGGACTCACACACGGGGGGCTCCAAGTGTGTTTTTCATATCTATGGTTTGTTTTGCACTAGTCTACTGCATCAACAAAACCTGGAGCACTGTGGTTCCCTTTGTTAATGCCAACTACGATAGCTACCCAATGCTCTACTTTTCCAGAGGTGAGATGCCAGATTTGCGAGCCAAGGCCACCACTACACACCAACACATCGCAGTGCGGTTGGTTGAAGCTGTACAGATCATGCTGTCAAATCCTTTGGAATACCTTCCTCCCTGGGATCCCAACGACTTCAGTGCTCGATGGAATGAAATTTATGGCAACAACCTGGGTGCCCTGGCGATGTTCTGTATACTTTATCCTGAGAACATTGAAGCCATCAACATGGCCAGAGATTACATGGAAAGAATGGCGGCTCAGCCTAGTTGGTAGATTTTTGTCCTTTTTTTAAAGTGCAAAACTCATCTGTTCAGATTAGAATGATATGAGAGAGAGAGAGAGAGGAGAGAGATCAAGTAAAGTGGTAGAAAGTTCTGGCTTGCTTTTAATGTGTTTTCAGAAAACAAGTATTATCTAATACCCATACCTAAAAAACCCATGAACAGAATGTTACAGCATTTTCTATAATAATAATATAATAAAATGTATTTATATCCCGCCCCTTTGCAGATGCAATCAGGGTGGCTTACATTAATAAAACAGCGTAAATATACAACCCCAAAACCCACCTATCACTTAAAATAGTATTAAAAAGTTAAAACAACAACAAACAATAAAACAGTAAACAGCTAAGATAATCACAATGGCAGAGTGGACAGCCAGCCACAAATGTGGCAAAGAGTAGGAGAAAGGATGGACAAGCTCTTAAGGCCAGGAGATCTAATCAGGAAAGGCCGGCTGGAAGAGATCTGTTTTTACAGCTTTTTTAAAGCTATTCAAACTGGTAATATGATGGATCTCATCCAGCAGATCATTCCATAATCTGGGAGCGGTTGCTGTAAAGGCCCTCTGGGAGGTTGCAGACAGCCTAGTTTTTGTAGGCTGAAGCAAATTCCTCCCAGAGGACCGGAGTGCACGGGGTGGATTATATGGAAGGAGGTGGTCCCAAAGATAGGTTGGACCTTTAAAGGCTTTAAAGGTAATAACCAACACTTTGTACTGAGCCCGGAAACTGATAGACAGCCAGTAGAGCGATTTTAAGACAGGTGTTATATGGTCTCTCCTTGATGTACCCGAGACCAACCTGACTGCCATGTTTTGTACTAGTTGAAGTTTCCGGACTACGCACAACGGTAGCCCCATATAGAGCACATTGCTGAAATCAAGACGAGAGGTTACCAGTGCGTGCACTGTAGTTTCAAGGTTCCTTACTTCCAGGAAAGGGCGCAGCTGGCGAATCAGCCAACACTGATAACAGGCGCTCTTAACTGTCGCGTTTACCTGATTAGTCATCTGGAGTGCTGGATCCAGGAGCACCCCCCAGACTGCAAACACAGTCCTTAGCAGAGAGTGTGACCCAGTCCAGGACTGGAGGTTGTATCCCAATACCTACTTTTGGGGATGCTACCGCAAGTACCTCTGTTTTATCTGGATTCAGTCTCAATCTGTTTTTCCTC